CTTCCGATTCTCACACCAAATCTAATCAGAGTCGAATCTAATGTCCGCAAAAGCCCACGTGACATCTTCACATGCCACAGAAACAACGGCCGTCACGAGAGGAAAACCATTTCCTCAAATACAGCCTCTCAATAAGATGAAATATGAGAGGTGTATCTGAGTAAGGAAGAGCCTAGAAACTGCACTTGAATTCAATCAAAAAGCGAACCAACAGGCAGAGAGTCCCGTCCGTACATAAATTTATACCTCCCCTGTTTCCCTTTTCACTTACTCCGCGGTACCCTCCCCCGCCGCCCTCCGTCAGGACCACCTTCCCGATATACCGCCCCTCCCCCGCCCTCACACCGGGTTTTCCAGGGATTATTGACTCTCATATTCCTCATCTTTCGCTTCCCAGTCCTCCCATAAGACCAACTCATCATGCTAACTTAGGTTGCGCAACGCTAGCGCTCCTATTTCTCCCTTCCACCCCCTTTCTATCCCTCTCCTCCCCCGGTATCGCCGACCTTTTCCAATCCCAATGAGAAATATAAAGTTGCGCAAAGTTCCCGATTTTTCTAAATAAATTTTCATAACTTATGAAGTATTTCCCAGCGTTTTTCTCGGTCTCACACTTCTAATAAATATCCACGTGCGCTCACCCTCACACACACACCCTCACCCACCACCACACACACCCTCACCCTCACCCTCGCGCGGTTTACGACACAGGTATCGGGAGGTATTTATAATAGGGAAACCGGGTGAAGAGGAAATACACATTCTCCACTCGTGCGAGAGAGAGAACGCGACATTTTAGCCTTCCGAACTTTTTTTATTATTTCTCTCGGAAAGTTCGGAATATTATGTTAAAGTTGAGATCGTGTCATTTTAGGATGAGTTGGAAATATATCTACGGTGAAATTATGCCAAGACCAACACCTTACGTTACTCGTTATTCTAAGTTTAATTTTCTTCTCATACGTCGACTGCCGTATCAAAGCATCCTTGTTTGCGAATTATATCATGTCTAATAAAAAAATTAGATAAGTTAAGAATAATACCTCCTGTATAGAGCACCTTGATGACATTGTGCTTTTACAGAGTTTCTAATGGGTTCAGAGGGGGAAGGTTCGAGGGTTTCGAGGAAAAGTCTGGAAACTCAGGGAAAGTCAGGGAATTTTCAACGACCTGGGAAAGTCAGGGGCTTTCATGAGCAGAACAGAAGTTAGCTATAAGTAAAAGTAGTAAAAATAAAAAAATCTGAGTGAGACTTTGTTCGGGGATCAGGGAAAGTGAGGGATTCAGAACATGTCAGAGTCATGGACAAGCATAAAAAGTTCAGGAAAAGCAAAGAATCAGAAACCGAAGAAACTTTGGAGACCTCGGGGTTACATTTTGTGCATTTCGTGAGAGGGCCGAGTTGCCTTTCTACGCTATCATATGCAAAAATAAACTCATAAATAATATACTATATTACTTTGTACTGTGTATTCATAATCCTATGTACTCATAATATACTATATCATATATGAGGCCTTATGTGTAACAATGGCGGATGTGAAAAATTACCTTTCAGAAACTCGCTTAAAAAACCGTTTTGTTCACACAAAAATTTAATATGTTTGGCTCTGGCATAAAGTACAGATCTCGAAGATCACATCTCAAGTATTTTATCAAAATTTTCTCGATGCCAAAACAGTTTTTTGAATGTGTTTCGAGAAGGTAATTTTTCACATCCGCTATTGTTACAGATAAGTCCTCATATATAATAGCTCGCTTTTGTGTTAAATTTGACAAGCTTTTTTTTCCACCGTAGTCCACGTGAAAAACTATTGAAGAACCTCCTCCTGCACTTGAAACCTCACTTTCTTTAGTGCCCATATCCTCCACGAGGATCGTGCGCCTAAAACTTTCATCCGCCCTCCAACCTCGGCGAACACTGAGAGCAACGTCTCGTCAATTCCGTAGGAAACTCCCGAACCATCTGCTTAAGCACTTCCCTTCGTAGCGGACCTGCTGAGCTCTAATTTCTAAGTAGCCTGCAGAAAGAAAAGGAAAGCCTTCCTCGATAGCCGATTAGGGCCCGGACCCTCGAAAGATTCTCAACCTAATCTCCCACCGCGGGGGGGGGGGGGGGTAGTAGTGGGGGCAGCTCCCAAGGTTAACCGCTTTCCGCCGAAGTGCGGTCTTTAATGCAGTTACTTAAAACTTTTTCCGGATCCCCCTCTGATCCCATCCCCCGGGAGGCAGAGAGAGGTCAGCTCAAGTGACTTCGATTGCTCCGTTCTTTGCAGCGTTGCCGTTTTGCATGGAAGTGTAAGGTGTTGCGTGATGTGAAATAGACGAATTTGGTGTAAATTTGGCAGCCTGCGGTCGAGAGTTTTGCTAGGGTTGATTGGGGTCTCGATCGGGCGAGGTTGTCGCGAACTTCGGCCCTGGACGTTGGAAATCAGCGATTTTCGTGTTGAATTTTAATATTTTTGCGATAGAAATTTAAGGATATGAAGAATCAATACGTGTGGTTTAGAGGGTCCCAGAATTAACATTTTTCAGGAAAGCTGTTCTATTAATCCTTGTTTGCGGCTCGAGTATACGCTTGTAAAACATCATATCGACCTCATTTTGCAATAGGGAACTACAATTTCTAATTTATTCACAAAAGCAAATATCTACACGGAAAATGTGGCGTATACCGTCGTTCCCCTCACGAAAGAACGTAAGTACGTTACAAAATTTCCAAATTTTCCCTCGCAAACTGCATTTTTACTTGGAGAATCCAGAGAAAATCTAACTGAAATGTCACTGATTTTTCTTCTGACACCATGCAAAACTCTAAAAAGTTTTGAACCAAAATTGCACAGGCATATTCTTGTAAAATATTGCATTGTTTGAGTGGACGTTACAACTATTCAATGGAGTCACGCTCCTTCGTTCGAGAAACCACGACGTATGTAGTTTTTAAAATTACACGGAGACAGAAGTTCCTCATCGCAAAATGTTGTGCACAAAATTTAGTCGGGGAAATACACTACATTTAAACAGACTCGTTCTGCAAACTGCTCGATCCGACATTCATAAGCCACCATGAGGCCAATTAAATGCTCAACAAGTTGTTAATCAACAACCATTGAGCAAAAGATAGTGCTGGTTTTTGGAATTATACCTTTTGCCTCGCACCATTACATCGCTTGAATTTGGATTGCGGGGTCACCATAATGTATCGTTCTTGAAAACGCGCGAGCTGTTGAAGTGGCGATGCGTGAAAGATCGATTATCGATATTCCCCCATTTGAAGCTATGAAGTTAAGAATCGAGTATTCAACTGTTCATTGCAAAAATCTTGTCTACCGATCCTTTTCCATACGTCTAAATGGCGGATCAATCAATGTATCGCAAAGCACGCCACGCCACCGAGTCGTTGTCTGAAAAATTATTGTCAAAGCTTTTGCTACCTCTGACCGGTGAATGCTTTGACTAAAACATTGGAACAACGAAAGCCTGTTAGCATAGTCATGTTATGAATGAGTAAACTTGTTTCCTTGAGTTTTCTCTCCCTACAGATGCTCAAAGAACCAGAATAATTTTTACTTTAAAAAGATTCGCTGAATACTGCGGCTTTAAAAATGCGCACAATAATCATGTAATTCCGAGACCTTAAATTCTATCAGTGGCGATCCTTGAAAGTTGACAACTCTGTGTCTCCTTTATTTAAGTGCATGTAAAACAATCGATTCTTGGTCAGACAGCTTGTATCTCAGCTGAAATCGATATTTTTCATGGATTTAAATGGAGGAAAAACGGTGTTTCCAAATTGCCACTGCATTCTACAGTGAATTTTACGGTATTCATCATACCAATATCTATTTCATGTAATTTTTTCTACATCACGAAGAAAGGTCACTAAGTCGTGTGAATATTACGGGCCTCTACTAAATATTCAACAAGAGAAGTTTAAGTCGTTGGAATACATGTTCACCTGATGTTTCCCGAATTTATACTACCTAAAAAGTAGAGGACTCTCCGGTAGACTCCTCCATTACGCCTCGTGGAAATGGCTGCGTGAGCTAAACTTTTATGAACCTTTTATACATCGGAAAAAAAAGGAAAAAACATGGATTGTGGCGGCGGTTGGGGAGAAAGTATGTCGGCGAAAATAATGAAAAAGTTTGAGATTTTCGATCGGCCGCAGCTGAGGGTAGAAAAGGGGGGATAAGAGAGGGAGCTTTTTTCGGTGCCGACAGCGGCGCTGAAATCCAGAGCTAATGATCCGTTCAGTTTTTAAAGCAGCTGCACTCGCCCCGATCAAATTAAATACACTTTACCACTTCTGCAGCAGTTTTGGCCGACCGACGGTGAACATTCTCTTCGCGGTGTTGGCGAATAGTCCCTCAGGTTTTGCTGGAGAGTTACAAGGAGAAAAAGGTGCCATGGATTAAGTGAAAAAACACTATTTTCAGAAAGGAAAACGACCCAAGCACCAATCTTTTCCAGTAAGTGGAAGTCGGATAAAATGAAACCAAAAAATCTTTTTGGAACGAATTGGAACGTTCGTAAAATTTGAATTGAAAAAATGTATCGTTTTTCCTGTGAACATGAAATGTGTCAAAGATGAACTTGTCTCAAAGTTAAACCCTCTCACTATTATTTGCGTTGCACCTCGTTCTCCCGTATGTGAAACTTTTAACATGCTCGGTTTTAAGTTTTGGAGGGAGAAAAGCTTTCAAAATCAAATTTAGTTAAACCTTCTTTTTTGAGGGTGAGGAGAATGTTGATACCTAAACCCCGTAGGTTTTGGCTACTGGTTGCGGGCCCAAATTATCGATTGTACCGTAGACTGTGCCCTCATATTTTTATACCCAATATTCTACTCAGTTGCATTAGTTGCTACCCAATATTCTACTCAGTTGCATTAGTTGCTACCCGCAATATTCTGCTTAGTTGTCATTTTAGGCAATCCTCTTCTATCTTGCAGGTATGTTAACTTCTAAATAACTTATTTCTTTCTTTTTCTGTTACAGAGTCGCCGTAGCATAGTTCTGGACAACGTTACAAAATCGGAAATTATAAGGTAAGTCACGATGTTATTATGCCCTTTTCCTGATTTCGAACTTAGGTCGGTCACCGTGTCAACTTCCTTTATTTCCCTTTATGTTCCCTGTTTATTTTTTCTATATATTATAGCTATAGACAAATAAGATAAAGGGAAAATGGAGCTATAATAGTTTTTAAAACAGGCTGGTGGTTGTCACAGACGAGGTGGGAAAATGATGAACTATGACGATAGGGTCCAGCGTGGGTTGCCGTTATTTAATTGCAACCACCTGCTTCCACCGATAGGATCCCTCCATATAATTTTTGCCTTCTCTGTCTAAAGCTCAATTTCAAAATTTTCTCCGTCTAAAGCTCTGTCTATCAATTTCAACATTTTCTCTATCCAAATCTCTGTCTATCAATTTCAACATTTTCTCTATCCAAAGCTCTGTCTATCAATTTCAACATTTTCTCTATCCAAAGCTCTGTCTATCAATTTCTACAATCAGCCCGATGAGCCTTTAACATGATTTCTCACCCCATTCCTTGCTCGCAAATCTCCTGTAAAAAACTCCCCCTCTCCCCACCCCCGCAACTTTAATCCGGGAGGAGCCTCGTTCGGCTAAACTGTCGGCAATTTCGGGGCGTAATCTCGAAGGCCCGACAAAATCCGAGCAGAAGCGCCTCGCGCGCGGCCGTAAAAGCGACGAACTTTATAGATTTGCTTTCCCTTTTTTACGAGGACGACAGCGTAATGAGAGGCGAATTAATTTCCGGGGCAGGGTTGCCGCGGCGCCGAGCCGGGTTTTCCGCGGGGCGGAGCCCGGGGGCCGCTGCGGGATTTTTCCGAGGCGGCATCGCGGCCCCCCGCCCACGCGCGACCGAAGACACTGCAGTAGCCCGTGTTCGTCCGCCCCGAATTTACGAGGCGCAGAAATTGGCCGCGATCGACATACGCTTTTATGGGCTTCGATGGGAAAACTAAATTCCTCCAATGTTGCCGCTTTGGTCAGTGGACACTGGACAATCTAAGCACGATAATAGCTTGGAATTGTCATATACACTGGAAAAAAAAACACATTGGATCTAGAGTCCAGACTCTTAAAAACATCGACAAGAAAAAATAATCTTGATTCAATCAGATTTAAGCTTAAATCAAGAACCAAGCCTCTTAATTTGAGCGGATTTCCTTTTGATTCAAGCAAAAATCCGATTGAATCAAGAGTATTTTTTCTTGTAAATGTTTTCAAGAGTCTGGACTCTAGATCTAATGTGCTTTTTTTTCAGTGTACATGAAAATGGCCCATTTTAAAAGGGCCGCATTGAAATGTTTGAGGTATATTTCTAAAAAACTAGGGGACCGCGCCCTGAACCAGGGCTGCAATTTTTCATGAAAAAAAATCTTGGAATTTCATGAAATTTCAGAAAAAAAGAAAAGTTAGGAAACATATTTTTCGAAAATAAATGCAAAATTAAATGAAAGACGACTGGGTTTTGCTTTTTGGTGTTTTTTAGTGCGTGTTGCATACCCCTCCCCTGAAAGTATGTTCCATATTTTTCCAACTTTGCGAAATTTCAGGAATGTTTTACGGAAATTATCAAATTTTTTATTTCACCCATGAAACCCTGCTCTTAGCCCTCCAACCGTTTCGCGATCAAAACCCCCGGCGAGTCGCTTTCGTGCCATAGGCGTTACGCGTTATGCGTTATGCGTTATGCGTTACTTTTATCATTTTTATATCATAGAATTGGACTAAATTTTGCAATTTGGAACTATAGTCTCTGGCTCAGTTTAGAAACAACGTATGAACCAACAGTTTCCTTGTGCACACACGCGTGTTTTCACAGATAAGCCAGAAATTAATGTTCCAAACTGCAAAATGTAGTTCAATTGGACCGCATTTTGCAATTTGGAGCTATAAATTCTGGCTCATCAGAAAACAACGTATGTGCATAGGGAAACTAATACCACATACGTTGTTTTTAAACCGGACCGGAATTTATAGTTCCAAATTGCAAAATGCAGTCCAATTAGTTATGAGTTTGGAGTAAATATGGATTTGACCAGTCGTAAATTTCCACCTCGTGAAATTTTAAAGAGAAAACTAACTTCTTTGTGTGCTTTAAATGTTCCGTAGTGGCCTGGTGACGTTTGAAAAAAATCACAATTTAATTTGATTGCGTTTTGCAAAATTGAACCAAGAGCATTGCAATGTTGATGAACCTGTACAACTTCTTTTGTCTTGGGAAAAAAACCTGATCATCTCTAAACATTCTCATATTTTACACGCTAAAAACTGTAAATTTAAGACAAAAATTGTCATGTAACCTCCAAATATTTTCATGATCACAGTAGTATTATTGCTAAGGGTGAAGTTGCACAATTATAGCAAAATGGCAATACTTCTGGTTTCTTTTTGCAAAATGCAATCCAGTTGCTTGTACCTAATTTTTTTTTATCAGAGAAGATCCGCATTAGTTGAAAGTCAGTGGAAATGCTGCATGGGGAAAACTTTTTGATCCAACCGATAATTAATTATCTTCATTTTGTGTTATCACTTTAAACACCACCCTTATCAAGCCCATAAACAACACGCGCTAAAACTGTGTCTAACGTTTTATCGGACTCGTCCCTGGCACGATTTTACGGCTTTACCTTCTTGTTTCCCCTCGTGATCTTTTCTCTTCAGTGTAGTTCAGCGACCCGGCCAATACCTATCCAATCCACCCCTCTCCCTCGAATCCTGAATTCCGAGGAATTCAAATCACTCCGCCAATACCCAGTTGCACGCTTTCCGCTCAAAGTTATGGGATGTACATGCATTCAGGGTCTGCAGGCGAATCGAATAAGGTTGAAAGGGTTTCAGGAGGGGCAAGCGCAAGGAACAGTGGCTTGGCGTGCTTTGCGATCTATCGATATTTCCCCATTTGAAGCTGTAGTAAATAATCGATTCTGAAGGTGTTCACTGCGAACACCCTGTTCATCGATAATTTTCCATAGGTTCAAATGGCCGATTAATCGATGTATCGCAAAGCACGCCACGCAACTGCCAAGGAACCATCTCGAAAATCCCTGAACTCCCCGCGGGAAAAGCCAGGGGATCGCGCAACTCCCTCTGAACTTGCGACCGCGAAGGTGGGTGAAATACACGGACAGCCCAGGCTTGCCAAATTATATTGTAAATCCTACATTTTTCACGTTGTCTTGAAACATCATGAATGCGGAGTGCATGCCAAGATAAAGTTTATTTGGACCGCGTTAAACAGAAAGGAACCAAGCCACATCAGCTATTGCCAAATTTAATTTGGCAATTCAATTTTTACATGAAAACGATTGTGCGGATATTCGTGCAAATTTCAGCGGATTCTCTCCGTAGTACGAAGCAATTTTCTTAAAATTTTCAAAGGAATCCACAAAAACGTTCTCTTGTAAAAAATTAAATTGCCCAGTTAAATTTGGCAATAGCTGATGTGGCTTGGTTCCATTCTGTTAAACGCAGTCCATATCTTAGGTAACCAACTGAATGAGTGTCTAGATCAGGAATAAATTAAACAATCATGTAATGTATTTTCTACACTATTTCACGAGGCAAACGCGACATTTTCCACGGTTTGCCAGGAAAAAATTCTTAAACTAGAGATGAGTATTGAGTTAATTTGAGTAAATATGGCATGAGCACTAATTACGTTACCTAGTATTAATTTTCTAAGGCTTCAGCAGGGTTTTGCTTGATTGGGAATCATCATCAGAATTTAGTCATTTTGGATTTTTTCAATGGTTAAAATAAAAATGACGTCTTTTGTTGAAATGAACTTCCATTCGGACTGCATTTTGCCATAAGATGATGTAATATTTCTGGCTCATTCATAAAAGCACCTAGCTGCATTGGGAAAACAGATGAAACATACGTTATTTCTAAAATGAGCTAAACATTGTGACTCCTTACAGCAGAATGCTGTCTATTAGATCTGTGTTAATAATACATGTTAATATCTCATCATGAAGTTGATCTCCAAATGGCTTTATATGTGAAACGTTTTCCAAGTAAAATATCAAAGAGGAAACATATGCCTTTTTTCTAGTTTAAACATTTCCAATGGCCCAGTGCATTTTTCCAGCACGAACTCAATGAGTGTAACGGAGAAAAAGAAAAGAAGAAAAAAAGAGAGGGTCAAATGAAGAAGAAGAAGAAGAAGAAGAAGAAGAAGAAGAAGGAAAGATCAGTAATTATACTGTAAAAAAAATCTCCACACCGGAAAAAAACACATTGGATCTAGAGTTCAGATTCTTAAAAACATCGACAAGTAAAAGTACTCTTGATTCAATCAGAATCTAGCTTAAATCAAGAACCAAGCCTCTTAATTTAAGCGGATTTCGTTTTGATTCAAGCAAAAATCCGATTGAATCAAGAGTATTTTTTCTTGTCAATGTTTTCAAGAGTCTGGACTCTAGATCCAATGTGTTTTTTTTCCAGTGCAGTCGTAGAAACCTTAATCACTGGCTATATAGACGCACCGAAGTTCAGAGGCCGAGAGTTCCGGGTGCTGGACCTGGAACTTTCGGTTGGTGAGCCCAGAATGGACTGTGTGTCTATATAGTCAGAAGTACGGCCTCCACGGCCAGAGTTTTACCAGTCTAGGAGAAAATAAATGGATAATTTCGGAAAAAGTACGATGAGGAATCAGGATAATTCAAAGGAAGCACAAAAATAATTTTTCCAGGTTTCATCCCCTCCTCTCGGCAATTCCATCCCCGCTGAAGCGGCAACGCAGGGCGGGCGTGTCTTGTTCTTGTCGAGAGCGCTCCCAGCCCTGGGCCCGGGCCGGTATCGTATTTTTAACGAATCATTATTTATTTATCTGACCGTTAAATCCCATTAAAATGTTACAAGAGCACTCGGAAAGAGTTTAATCAATTTGCCGGCCACCACCACCCCCAACCCCCGCTCGATACGGCTCGCTGACCTGGATCCCGTGGCCGCGGCACGTTAACAAGCCGCCAGCTTGGTTTTTTGCCTTATCGAGGGATCGAGACCG